CAATTGTAATGAAAGCAATAATGGTTTGTGATAGATAAGTCTGACGGTTAGATTAGATTCATATTGAAAGTTTTTCTTTGATAGTCCTATCAATCGATATCGCTTTCATGCTATTTCTTTTCTGAGACCCCGAGAAGACGAAAAATATCGAGGACGAAAAATACCTTCCGATTACTTTGCCTCCGATATTTATTTCATGAAAGACGTCTGCTCCGATAATCGCACACATGGAAAGGAAAAAGTTAATACATGGATTTCACTTGTAATAAAAAATATGTTTCATAATATTGTTCCCATATTGGATACCTCCCTGATAATTATTCTGTCTGTACGATATTTCAAGATTGTATCTTTGGTAATAAGCGCAAGGAACAGAAACAAAATCATCCTTCCGATGTACTTGTAACGAAACCAATTTCGACTAATGCGTTGTTACCATATCCAGCATTGTGCTTTCCATCATTTCACGACTGATATTTTGAGACAGAGGTACATTTACAAATGTCCGAGTTCGAAAAAGAACGAAACAGCTCTAATTAAAACATTCCATTTAGCGAACTTTCATGAAATTCTTCATTGTTATTTAGTATAAAATATTTAATATAAAATACATATATATATTTTTTGTATCTAAACCGCGACAGGAAAAAATTTTTAATAAACTTTGAATATAATTAAATTTTTAACTGTTTAATTAGCAGTCTACAATATTTAAGGATTAAAAAAATTCCTCATTAATTTCATATCAACTAATGCACACAGAGTATTTAATATAAAATAACTTTTTGTATAATTCTCTCTTTAAATCACGACAGGAAAAAATTTTTAATGAATTTTATTTTACTCTTCGAATGTAACTAAATTTTTAATTTTTTAATTAATATATTCAATGTTATTATTTAACGATAAAAAACACATTTCTAATAATTTCATATTGATTTATAAATGCGTACAATATTAATTATATTTTAAGAAAAATTTTCGCATTTCTCAAATAATATAAATAAATTTACGAAAAATTTTAAATAGAAATTATAAGTAAAATTTGCACTGGGATTCAGAAAGCCATTGTGATTGCTTTCTGATTCTGTTTCTGTAAGAGAAAAATTCTGATGGATCCATGGACGTTTTCTTTTTTGATAAACTCGTGGCGAGACGAAAATTCATCTCAGTTTTGGGTCCATCCCGAGCGAAAGCTGTGTGCGCACCCCGGATCCATCGTCGGCTGGGTGCACGTCGATGCCAGGCCACGGGGAAACCGGTGTTGTGTATGTCACCGAAAGAGATGGTGGTGGGGGCCGGCCGGCCGGTGGTTCTTCATGGTGGGGGACCGCAGCCAGGGTTTCCGACCGCGTCGGCGGCGCTTAAGCCTCCGACGCGGGGGCATTGCCGTCGTGGCCGCGGTACGATCCGATCCGGCTGCTCTCTCAGTGCGCGCTGCTCTTTCTGCCGCACGTGTCGACGGTCTTCGTGCCGAAGGATTTTTTTTTTCATTTCTTTTTGCCTGCCCTTTCCTGCGCGAGAGATAACCGCGTGGCGATATTAGTCGCGCAGATCCCCGCGATCTTTGCAATTCTTCAGTGCTACGAGTGCGATGATAATGATGGACTCATGAGAGATAGTGTGCGCGTGTGGTGATCTGAGGAAAAACGCTTCTCTCATCGTTCGCGACCATCGCAATTATGCGCTGACGAATAAAGGGTGGTTCCCAAAAGGGAAAATCTTAAGGGGTTTACATCGTTATGACACGCGATCGCGCGTGAGGAGTCGATGTAGCGTGCGAGAGGAACGACGTAGAACTGAACATTCCCTTTTTTTCATTCGAGTTGCACGTAAGTCGCGCAAGGATTTTAATATGTATATCGAGGGTACGCCTAGCGCGTGGTAGTGCGTCGGTGTTTTCGGAGCACGGTGGTTCATTCACAACGGATAATGAATGAAGGACGATCGGCTTCGTGTTAGCGAAGGCAAAACAGTTTTGTCGTAGGTCAGTCCGCTGTAAACGAGCGCTGTCACTCCGCTTCATCGTTTGACGCACGGCCTTCGATTGATCGGGATGCCTCGTCCATTTCGCGCCGGATATTGAACGAAGTTAAATCGGAACGCGTGATAACAAGATCGCGAAAATTTGACGGGATCGTCAGATCCTTCCGTTTTGATTGAGTTTTAAAAAAAAAAACGGTTTAAAAAAACGTTTGTGTCTCCTCCGATTATCTGACCGGTGTCATTTTATCACTGCCGTTCTATTCAGTGCTAGTTACAAATCATCTGGCGTGTGAGACTGCATTATTTACGTCTTACGTGCACGATGTACACTATTCGAGATTGAACCTCGTGACTAGCATCCTCGTGACAAGTGTCAATTGTACGTTGTGAATGAGACTCGGCTTGCCTATAGTTTATTCCTAAGTGCTACGAGCAATGCGTAGCTTATAAGTTCTGTCGCTTATAAGTGCCACGTTGAGTACGCGGAGCTATTACTGGGATTATAAAAGCGTTTCTCACGTCTAGGTAAGAATTAACGAGTGTTTAATACTTATTATGCATGTAATATCAGTAACCTTAAATAACCAAAATAGCAAAAATATGTAACAGATGTATTGTACTTTTAAATGAACACGCATTAAGTAAATATCTACTTAAATACCGTTTTTTTATTATTTTATTAAAATCATATACTAAAGAATAAAAATTAGCTTATAAAGACACGATTTTTATTCGATTTTTTTTCGCAGATATCGTCTTATTATTATTTTACATGCACAATATATCTTATACAACACAATATATTTTATAATTTAAATGATAATTAATGTCTATATTAAAAGATGAGGATTAAATTTTAACGTTGTAAAGATTTAATGTTGTAAAGAGTTATAAAGAATAATTTCCTTGAGAAAACGTTTACTACACTGTTTATTTACTTCCAACATGAACATTCGTTTATGCGCAATGCCTCATACTGTTCTCACCTAATGAAAATTGTAAAGGAATAAGATACATTATTAAACCGAACAGATAGTATTGTCATTGAATTTTAAGGACTCGGCTGCACCGACAGGTTGAGTTAAATAAGCCCTGCTTTTCAATTTCCGTCCCTTTCATGATTAAAATATCACTGATAATGTATATAAAAGGGAAAATATAATTGTGCAAAATGGCGTGAATATTGCTGGTACAATCGTTAATTCAAATCAACTTTAATAGGATTTTCCAACTGATGTGTACCACAAAGGGTCCCCAAGTGTGCCGTGAAAATTGTAGAGAAGATAAAAACAAGCGAAAAAATTTAGAAATAAGTTAGAAAGCGAAAATTATCTAAATTATATTGTGTTTAATATAACACTACTCTAACTTAACCAAAGCGATATCATCACTGCAGTAGAATCATTATTAAAACGATAAAATAAAAAATAAAAATGTTAGAATTTTACTGTTTATTTCTGAATCTCATGTTAGCGGCGTGTACATCTATTGGTGTACCTCGAGAAATTTAACTTATTTAATGTGCTGCGAAAATGGTTAAAAAATGCTGACTTAAATAAATACTGTATGTAGTACAATCAAGTGATAAATTTCTTTTTGCTGCATTAGTTCTGTATATATCTTTATCCACATGAAATTATTTTATTATTTTGACAAATATATAAGCAAATGCGTTCTTTAGATCCACCCTCAATGAATATCACTCATTTCTATCGCAAAGTAGCGGTTGTGCGAGAAAGTCGATCATCGTTCTTGCAGTTTGAGCACACGCACGATCCGCGGAGAGTATACCTCCCGCGGCATCTCGCCAACCTCTTTCAACACGGTTAAATATTAGCGGGAAAGACCGGTGCGCTACTATAAATTCTAGCCACACGACACGCCAGCGCGCGCCGGCTCGTAAATCGGCCCCGCGCGACATGTATACTTCCAGGCATCATTAATTAAAAGCCACGCTCGTTGCCTAGCATCCTCTTGTCTCTTTCTTGAAGATCGGCAGTTCCGTGGCATTTTTGTGAGATATTTAAACTTAGATTTGCTAGTATTTATCCATGTAATGTAAGATTCTTGAGATTGGTCATGTAATATTTTCAGAAGCGAGAGAGCTACTGGCGATTAACCAGCGACAATTTTTTTCCTTTTTACGTAATATTTATCTTTTGTAAATGTTAGTGGCTGTCTTCGAGTTTTGTTTGACATATACTGCGAGATTAACATTAAAGTTATTATATATATATTACTAAATTATATATTACTAATTAGTTGTTAGCGGTGGTTACGGTTTTTTATTTACATATTTTACTTACTGATTAACATGTTTTTCATAATCGTTTACCTTCAATAGTTAATCTTTATAAATAACAGAATGTATATATTTTTTTTATTAATATGTTAACGTGTTTAATTATTTCGACAACATTAAACAAACATAGATTTTTGCCTGGTTATATTGATTTCACAATCAATTAAATTAAATTGATTATATTTTAAATAGATTAACGCAAATTCGATCAATACTGCTATAATAAATAAGAACTTAATAATATATTTGCAATTTTTTTCTATGATAAATTATGCAAAGTGCGAATTAGTGAGTATTTAATTATTAATATGACATTTGTCGCTGCATCAAACGTCATATATTACAGTTATTGTTTTTAAATGCAATCTGTATTTGGAAATTAAAAAAAATATCTTTTTTCTAATATTATATGGGCAAGAGCAAAAGGCGGATAATTGTGCAAGAGAGGGAGAAAAGGACTCGTCCCAACCTTCCATTCACGACGTTACGATCACGCGAAAACAAGTTTGGCAAGTCGGTTGCTTGAGCATAATCTTGGCTTATCTTGGTTTGGCCTGATCGGTCGAGAACGATTCGGAGCAATGTGAAAAAATACATCGCATGGTATGAATGGTCGAGTTTTTATTTGATCCGATCTATTCTTCAATCATACAGTAAATCAAGAAAAATTATAAGGAATAGGGACTCTGGGAGCTCCATTAAAAAAAAAATGTAATGCAATACGAGATTTTTATTTATTACTTTGCACAAGTGAAGCATATAACATTACGTAACCGGATAGTTCTTAACATTTATGAGATAGTAATTTTGAAAATACTATTGACATAATTGTGATAACAAAAAATTACTTCATTGTAGCGCTGATGTTCCTGATAATTAGTAAACGGGAACTTTAATGCCCCAGAGAGTCTCAAACACTTCCTTGATGGCTATGAGATCAATGCCTTCATTCCTAGCATGTGTCAAGAGCTCCTGGAATTTAACATGAGCGTATACCTTGTTGACGATTTGCTGGAAATTCTCGGATTTCAATTGTGTGATGAACTCGGCGAATGCCTTAGAGTCCGTCAGTTTCTTCTCGTACAAATCCTTAAGCTGTTGTCGAGGCAAAACGTTCAAAATGTCTTGAATAAATCCCTTAATTCCACCGGTAATGTATGTGCTGACGATATATGAGGGCGCGGTAAGAGGGGGGAGCTTGAGAGCGGAGTTCAATTGGTTCACCATCTTGTAAATGTCGATACCGGCATTATGGACGTAATCCATTAAAATTTTAATCTCAGGCAGATCTTCTACGTCTTTGACCAGCTGTTTAAATCCTTCAGATCGGAAGTATTCGATCATTCTCTGGAAGTCTTTATCCTCGGTGAAGTATTGAAGAGTGATTTGGACTACTTTCTCGACGGGTACGAGGTCTATGAAATCTTGGATGTCATGACGGAGTTCACCTTTGCCGAAATTGGGGATCTCAAAGGCGGAGGCTGTAGCCACGAGGGCTAACAGTGCTAATGCGAATTTCATCTGTAAAAATAAATAATTTTGTTGAGATTATTGATGCATTTGAAAATTACATTATATTTACATATTATATATGCAATGTATGTATATAATATAATATAATGTATTGTAATTTATATAATCTTATATTTATTATATTTTATACGATTATATATGAAATATATGTTTAAATATACCAAATTTATACAAAAATTATATTAATACAACAGAACTCTTAATATGACATTTCTAGTGCATCGATAAATATTGGTTGAATCAATTATTTCGGTTTTGTGTAATTTTTTATAGAAAAAGATTACAAATACTATTCAACTTTTATTATACATACCATTGAAAAGCGGTAAAATATTTAAAAAATTATAGTCATTTACTTATAATTTTTTTATTTTTATCTTTTTGGTTTATGTTTGAGAACCATGCTTTTGATAACAGTTTTATTTATTTTTAAAAGTGACAGGAAGTAAATGATTTATCATATTGCTTAATTTTTATTTTTATGTGCAATTTAATATTTAAATTCAAAATGTTTAATTTGATCTATTAATAATCATAGTCTATTGATACTTACCTTTGAAATGTTGCCAATAGCACTTCTACTTGTGATCTCGCAATTGATGCTTGACAATTTTTGCCGCTGTCTTTTATACACGAAACTAGATCTTATTTGTCCAATCTGTAATGATAAGATTATCTGCGAGTACTTTGAAGACAAAACACTTTTAAGATTATTCTGAAAAATTACATAATGATTTTAGATTACGCTGTCAGCTTTATAAGGGATTATTAATTTCATAAGCTGCACGTGCGAAATGATTACCGTATAAATAATGCTAAGAATACTTGACTAATGTTCGAAAGAATGGCAATTAATATATCACATCCGATTTATTATGATAAATCAACAAGATATATTTAGTATTTTTAATATTATTTTAGTTTTATTATTTTGTAGATTTTAAAATTTTATTTAAAATCTCGCTTCTAAATGAAAAGAAAATTTTCCTTAAAGTAAGTAGAAAATAATGATTGGATTTATAATGTAGAGGATATATATAAAAGAATAAAAAAAAATAAATAATTGATATTAGTCTAGAAATAAAGATAGAATCTCTTTATATTTTTATACTTTCGTAACATTTTCTATCCAATAATTAAATATATTAAAACATATGCACACATTTCTTTATATGTGATATAGAATTAATTTTACATACATTTTTTTTACATATTTTGCATAAAGATTGCACAAATATTGATAAAATCAATTTGTACTTATCTTGTGGATCGATAACGTGCAGGTGTGTTATCGAGCGAAATTAACCATTGCCCCTGTCTCATTGCCCCTGTCTCATTGCCCCTGTCACAAGTGAGCATTAAAAATTTCCGCTAAATCAAGTATTTAATCCCAAATAATATCGTGTCTCGTTCAAAGCTTTGCTATTTGTGAGAAATATTTATTTATTTTACCGAAGTCCATATTCTTGAAATATCTTTTTCCGTTTTCATCGATCATTGTATTTTTTTATAGCGAGTGCCCTATAAGCGATATTTTTTCTTTTTTTAATTCTCTCGCATTATTATGTTGCGTTATTCGCCACGAACTATTATTGCATTACTAGTGTTTCTGTTTTGTGCTTTACATACATCTATTCGTATACTATTAATCGATTGAAATCTGCTTTAAGACCTATCGTTATTCTTTCTCCATTTGTTCCGTTACACTATCCGCGATTCGATTCGAAATTCATAGAAATACGAAGCCTATCATTTGATGAAAATAACGAGATTTATCTTCATAAATCTTTTGAACCTTTCTTCAATAATAAATTCGCTGCTTGAAAAAGACCCATTTTAAGTCGAATCGTTTCCGATCTTTTGCGAAAATCAAGATTGGTGCTCCTAAAAGAAAATTCACAGAATAATACTCAAGCTAGCAATAATTTGCAAGCGTGAGAAAATGCCCCTTGTGCGTCATCGCGATGAGGAAATGGTCTTGCCTATTCCTTAATCGTGCCTTGATCATGTAGACTCGATGTTCGATCTCACGCCTCGTCGATCGTCGATTTTAGATGCTTTAGTTCCGCTTTCATTATCGCTGCCGGGCGTGAACACGTGTTTCGTCAAATAGAATAAGTGGAATAATGTAATTCCCGTCATAAAAGCAATTTTTTGGCGATTAAGTCAGGATTCATAAAGTCTCTTTTTTCATTCCTGCACTTTCTGAACTGATGCACACAATGCAATAAGTTGAAGTGAAACAAACATATATTTGTTTCACTTTAGCGTATTGCACCTCTTAAAGAGTGCAGCAATAAAAAACAGATCTATAACTTGTTTTGATTCCAAAGGAACAATTGCGTTAATAAATCATATGTTGTATTATATCAATTTAATCATATTCTTGAATTATATTAAAATTTTTATTCATCGAAAGAAACAATTGATACTTTTATCATTAAATGCATTTAGCACGTATTCCAAAAAGTTATTTTTGTGAAGTTCTTTATCTGTTGCATATCCATATCTGTAATCCATGTGATCATTAATCTTATCAAAAATTAAGTCCATAATACTTGTAATCTATACTTAAGTGTTTTTTGCGTTGCTAGATGATGTCCATATCGTGTCAGTGTCACGAATCGCTTATGCGAGAGATCTCCTGTGTTTTGTACGTTATTTACGCGTTGTCGATTGAGTAATCACACGCTTATTTTCTGCTTTTTCGTGAATTTCTTTGCGTATTCTCGCTTTGATCGTTATTAAATATCATTAATACAATTTATTGTTTCATCGTGCATCAGTGTCGCAGTTAATTTGAACGGATAGGCTATCGATGTATACTCGTTTTCTATTTATTGACCATTTATACCGATCTCGTTTACCTGAAGTTTTGATCAATTACTAAGATGAATAATATATTTAATATTAAAAAATCGATATAATTTTAGTGAATTCAAGCTTTGCGATACTTCGAACAATTTATATAGTAGTATTGTTATACAGTGATACAATATAATATTATATAATAGTCTATAGTTTTATCGTGTGAGATTAAAGAAAAATTTAAAATTAAAATCAGGAAATATTTGAAGTGATCTTTGATTTTGAACGAAATATTCGAAATATTTCATTTATTATAAACGTCTCGTCGATACTTAAAATAATGTATGGAATTTAATACTTATTGGAATTTAATATTTATTGAATATTAATTGATAAATGCTTGACTTATTTTAAATATAAATCTGTTAGGTTATTGTGCTCAAGCTTTTAGTTTTGCCAATAGGTGAAAGTTGACAATTAAATTCTTTCGAAGAAAGTAATGCTTTTACAACATTCAGTTGCGTTATGTATTGAGCTTGACAATGTCTGGCCATGGTTATATACTCTTGATTATATACCGCTATTCGACGTTCAAGCACTTTGTACGGTTCAAGTGCTCCAGTATGCGTTTGTTATGCTAATCTAGTAACATGCTCTTTACTCCGTTTGACACGGTGAGACGAGCACGTCAATCTTTCAGAAAGAATGACGTAACGGCTCTAAAATCGTTTTTTTTCCGCCTGCCAGTTTCTCCCTCCTCGCTTTGCATCGCTGCTTAAAATGCATGCGTCAGTTTGAACGCATGAAACGTTTACTAAAAGTCGATTTGGGTCGTCTTGGTCATCTTTTTCTTTCGTTTCGTGGCAAGCGACTCTCGGCCGCGATTTAGGAGTCGTAAAATCAGCCATGCCAGAGTTCGTCGAAAAAATGAGAGCTGAAAACCACCACCAGCGGAAGAAGCCTTCTTCATCCAGAAGTTTAGCGAAATTGCACCGGGCTGATGACTGTAATTACTGACGAAATTAAACTCGTTCCGAAAGCATTCTGCGGGCCGATCTTCCCGACTACAAAAAAAAGTGATTTAAAAAGCGAGGCGAGGATTAAAACAATTCCTTTTGCGAACGCGCAATAAAACGTGCGCGTTGTATTCGCGCTGGATAGAAGCTGGTAGAAGTTTTGTGAACTTCATCCTCGTTTTTCATCCCCGCCTTATGCAAGAATATTTCAGACGACTTTATCGTTTGGAAGGTCGGAAAGTTCGAGTCGTTGCTGTTGCAATAAAATCATGGGTCAATGGCCGATGCAACGTCGCTGTTGTCAGTAAAGATGAAGAACATTTTGGGAGTCATTCGGCTAAAATTTAATCAAGCAAAAGCTTTCTAGATTACTGTTAGAGGGCGAAAGCGTCCCAGGAGATCGAAATCGACGACCATTTGGTATTCTACGAGACATTGCCTCGTAAAGTAGGATCTTTTTCCGATGCGGGCGGAATATTAGAACTGAGTGATCGGAGAAAATTGATGAAAATTGATTAACTGGAATTCCCTCCTTAGACACATATCGAAACATTGTACAATCTCAAAAGTTTACACATTTAGAAAATTATTCAAATATACTATAATTTTGTATACCTACATGGGAAATATATTATATGATAAATTATACAAGTAATCGATATAACGAGATAGAATTTTACATTGTGAATTAAACACAGTTGAAACATTTATGATTATTTGTTGATTTTATTACTTAAAAATATCATAAAATTGAATATGATGATTGATTATAACAAATAAATTCGAGATATATCCTTTTATTATTGAAAAGTTGCAAGTGAATGATTCACTCAAACGTAACATCCTGCTGGAAGATAGTCTTTAGAAACATTTGTTATCTTTATCGATTTATTAGTTCAATCATTTACATTTTGTTCCGTGAATTTTTCACTTCTTCGTTCGTTCCATTTGCGTATATTTTGCATAACTTAAAGAATTATACAACTAAAATCCGACGAAAACGAGGGCAGTGTTTCATATTGATTATTTCTGTGTTCGATATATTGATAATATTGTAGAAAATTTAGAGTTGAGAAAATTTATTACGATATGAAAACTGTTTTATAGTTCAAAATTTACAAAATCATTAAATTTACAAAATCATTAATGCATTAAATATTAAATTGAAAATTTTGGTTAGATTGATCCAGCAATATCGATTTCGAGTAACTTTCTGTCGATGACTTATTAAGCCTACCACCCGTAATTATTTCAGTGGTATCCGGGAGTTATGACTTCGTCGTCAGAGTGATACACGACGACACCCGCGATTGGCAATTCCGTTTGCATATAATTGCACAGGGAGGAGACAGCATCATAAATAATTTTTGTACCGCTTTTTCGTCGTCGTATTAATTTGCGATTAATCTTCGAGGCGAAAGTCGAAGCGAACATCGAGCCCTACTTTAACTCGAACGTGTTAAAAAAAATGCACGCTCGTAGCCGCTCGTGTTAATGCTTTCCTGGGGGAGAACTACAAGTGTAATGAATGCTGAGCAGTTATAATTAAAGTAATGATCAATGGCATTAATGCTGTCATAAACGATGTGGGCTGGAACTCGTTTTAACCACTTCGATCTTCCCATATGAGATCAGATTGTGTTTCAAATATTCCTATGATTTAGAACACACTAAAAAAGTGTATAATAATGGCAGCAATGCTTTCCGATAAACAATTTCTTTCTTCTTTATGTCGATTTCATGTGAACATTGTCTGGTAATAGAACATACATTCATTAGCATTGAATATTTATGAAAGCTCTATCGTCAAATAGGGA